GTAAAAGAAAATTTAAAAAAAAATGTAAAAGAATCGAGAAACATTTACTTGATTCAAAATGACAAAGAAAGTCTTGTTTTCTGTGAAATGTATATGAGCAAGAACAAATATCTGCCAACCAACTTCGTTCAATTGAGAAATTCGTTCTTGTGTTATAACCATAAACTTTTTGCATTTGCATCTCAAGAAATTGTATTAATGATGTAGATATTTCTATTGGGAAACAGGACAGATGAAGATTTATTTATTTTTTTTGCAATATGCATGCAACATTTAATGCCATGACCTTTTTGCTGTAATTCAATGGCCTGCTTTTCTGTGTACGGGTGAACTAAGGCCCGCAGAAACCCTGGGCTTTGTCCTTTGAGCTTGCCAGCAATAATCACTGTGTGGGAAATCACCAGAAGCTTGACCATTCTGCCGAACATCTCATTGTGAATTTCACAGAAGCAAGAAAAGCAGCAGGTTGGAAGGATATGAGCAGGTTGGTGTCGTGTATCGCGGTTTGTGCTTCAAGTCACTGCAGAACTCAATAAGCTCGTCTCTCATCTGTCGTGCAGCAAGTCCATCACTCTTGCATTACACGTATTGAGCTAAACCTTCAGTGGTCACTTTGATTGTAAGCGGTTTTCAATGCCAATTCTCTGCGTGTTTGTGTGTTTCCTGCGCACACAAACAGTGCTTTAACCAATAAACTCGCTGCTAAGCAATGACCGGGTCGTTTGCTCGTCTCTTCTTTCACACAATCTTAGCGTTGGTAATGCGACTTCATCTGGGCTTCACATGTTCCTTCAGGGTGTGTTGAACCTGAACAGTTGGGATCCAGAAATAAAATCCCATTTGTTTTCTTCAGAAGTAGAATTTTAATTATATCATAAAGTTTCAAGAAATCGACATCAACCTTACCTACATCTTCTTGTCTCGTCGTGTCCATATGTTTCACCTAATTTAAATTGCTTATTTATTTCTCAACGAATACACTGAACAGGGACCTGATTCTTGGAGACTTCAAAGTTCACATAAATCGGTTTTCTTTGACATCCTTTGATTATTCAACAGACCCAGTCATTACCAGAACTATTGTATTCTTTCTTTTTGGGAGCATAAAAGGTTGAGAATTCAAGCACCAATTAATTGCCTATTTGTTCAGTTGTTTTCACTTGTCAGATGCCTTGAGTATTTCAGATAGGCTACCTGAAGAGCAGGTCAAACTAGCCACAATGAACTGTAGCACAAGCTACATATAAGCAACTAAGGAACTATTATGAGAAGAGAAAACAATACATGTTTTCGTTGACTTCAAAGTCTGGCTGTATAATTAGCAACAAACTATATTTGGTGTAGCTGAGGCGTGCTACTACTAGCCTATAATAATACGCTAATTGAGGCGGCCAAATATGGACGGGATTCCGGTCAGAGAATCAGGGAGCGGAGAGAAGATTCTTCACAGAGATGTTTTTATTGTAAAGTCTTTGGGTCGTCATCTGGGTTAGTTATTCATTGGCAATGATGTCTGTATTAATGGTATTAAGTCATAAACGCATTAAACAAATGTGAATAAGCATACAGAGGCAGTGGTGTAGTGCAGGGTACTATACGCAGGTATACGGCGTATACCCACTTCCTTTTCAGTCGGCATTGCGTATACCCACTTCTAAATCCCCTCTGATGCGCATCTTAACGTTAGTTGCTAATCCAATTTCGTGAATAAAAAAAAACACCCAGTTAGAGTCGTACCCGTATTAACAATTTGTTGCTGCAATGATTCGCGACAATAACTGACCTTCTCATCTGATCTGCTTCAGCACTCAAACACCTGCTCGTCAATGTTTAAATGTTCGTGAGACCAATCAAAGAATGCAGTAGGCCTATTTCTGTTCACAGAAGCGCGAGCCGAGCGCGAATCCCAACGCGACGCTTCACTTCAGTTAACGACAGTGCGAGATAAGATGCAAGTATAGCTCAAATGTAGGGCTGTTTTTCAATAGACGTTTTAAATGACCGACAGAAATAATCAGTTTGATAAAAGACAATGGAAATTATAAGCTCAATTTAACAACACAAGCACCCTATTAAATATATTGCCATTATTATTGTATAAATATATAACGTTTTGTCGACAACTTGCATCATTGAGCCAGAGGGTGGCGACAAGTGATTGTCTTTTTGAGTGAGCAATTGAACCAATTATTAAATTAACAGATTAGTCCAAAAAACATTGATTAATTTAGGAAAGAAAAGTCGCTGAAATTTGAACTGATTCTCATGTTTAAGAATCTGATCAAATAGGCAACTTCATGATTTTAAAGCTACTGTTGTCAATTTTTTTGGCCATCAAAACACCTTAAAATTCTCATTTCGAAAAAAGGAAAATCAAAATTTTCTCGGGGGGGGGCATGCCCCCGAACCCCCCTAACAATATACTTTATGGGACCTGGCACCTGGGTATTTAGAAAACCATATGTGCGGCCCTGATATGCAAGGATACTACTGATTCTATGTGTTCTATTGTATTCATTACTCTATTCGTCTTGCATATTGAATACTAATGCAAGACTAGTAGTCTTACACGTAACTGTTTATAACACAAGGCGTTCATCGTTGGCTTGGACGCTTAAAAAAATATTGGGGGCATAAATTAAGAGTATACCCACTTCTCCAGGCACCACTACATCACTGTACAGAGGTGAACATTCCCCAAGACTCCCTGTGTGTACCACTATAACCAGTCTGTGTAGCAAACGACTTCTGTTCCTAGGACAGGCTTTCGTACATTTGGTGTGAATGTTCTTGGTAGAAGCTCGTCAGATCACATGCCAATCGATGCTTATCTTCAAAAACTCACATTTTTTTTTTTTTTTTTTACATTTTTAAAACCTATGGTTGGGTTTGTCCATATTTGACCCAAACATGGGTTAAAACAGCCCTGTATTTTTTATTTGAGTGCATGAACAAACATGATACTCTAAACAAGGATGTTGTTACTTATTACAGTATTAAAATATCAAGCACATTTTTTAAAATAAGCAATTTTGATAATGTGTTGGGTCGCCATTTTGTATACGCATAACTTACACTTAAAGCTAGGTATACGATTTCAAAGATTGTTCATTATTATCCTCGTTTAGATGCTGTTTATGGTTATATAGTATAATCCTAACAATATAAATAGAAAAAAGAACGAAAAAATCCATTCACTCTAATTGGCTGTAAAGCCACATAAAAGTTGACCAATGGAAGCTTTGCGAGCGCAAAGCTACATTGGTCAACTGCTCTCATCCAATCACCAGCTACACTTGAAACTCCGCCTGGAGCTCGCGTCTCCACCCCGACCGCGCCCAACCACGCCCGACCGCGCCCCCCTTCTGCGTCATGAGAATCGCGCACGTTAGCAGGTGACCGCACATGGTAGCTAGCTAAGTAGCACATCAGACAGCAATGGATAACAACGAAAAATACATCAGCAAGCGTCCCCTGCTTGCCCCTACAAGAAAGTTAGGACGGAAGAGAAAGTCGTTTGAGGAAAAAGCAGAGACGAAAAGAAAATGTGAAGAACGCCGAAAGTTGAGTAGGATAAATATAGGGTTCACCATTGACCGATGGAGGAAACTTCAGCGAGATCTGGGACTGACAGCACGGCTGACTTTTTGTTGAGCAGGTAAACATTTATTTGTACTCTTATATGGTGTGACGTGTTACATAAATAGCTTTTTATCAGTCTGAAAACTTGCTAATGCTGCCGGTCGGCATTGGAATGTTAGCTGTTTAGCATCACCTGTATCACGGTTCAAAGTAAATATATTTCTTGAAGTGCTTGAATATATTTCAGTATGCCTAGCGGGTTTCTGTTCGAGCCGATCGGAATTTCAAAAAGATGCGCTGTATGCTGCTATAACAATTACTCAAAACCTTAGCAATACTATTGATATCATACTTATGGTGGTGGGTAGTGTAGAACATTTCATGTGTTGCTAATCTTGCGTTGGCGTGATCTCAAACGTGTCATTCCGATGATGACAACTTGATTGAGTGACGTTGTTCAATTCGTTTCCCTGTGGGAGGGATCAGGTAGCAGAGGGGAGGGGGGTGTGTGTGGAGAGGCGGGATGAGTTTTTCAAAACTTCCCTCCCGTTTCAGGCTCTCTCGACCGATTTTCAACATCGTATACTACAGCTTTAAGACTTTATTGTTGTAATGCACAAATGGCTGACTACAGTACATATGCACCGTCTCTACACTGTAAATGTAGTCTTTTATGACCGAGAATAACACAATCTAGCCCCACTTATAGGCATCCAACCCTAAACTAACTCTTATTAAAGCAAGTTTTTGACGTTTCAAATGTATACAAATGAACTTTTTGTTAAAGGTATGTTTATAGCAGCCCATAGAACCGTAAATGAAATTTGGCACACAAATAAAAGACAGTTTAAACATTTACCATAGCAAATTTGGTCTCTTTCTAGCCTAGCGCCTCCAACGGATCACTCTTACGTATGCTAATGACGTTTGTACAATAAGGCCTAGAAGCTATAGACTGCATGCCATGATTTCATTACTTTTTTGAAAATTGTCCTAGACATTTCATCAGATCTTCACCAAATTTAGTCAGATGACAAAACTCTGAATCAACATGCACCACTGCAAAATGTTCTATTAGTGACATCATTATGATCACAACTTTTATTAATCACTTTAATGAGATCATTGTTTCTGTCTAAATGAGCACATGATATTAGCTAACTGTATGATTTATATTATCTTATTGCATTACTTTGAGTCACCTCTGATAATAGATCACTCGTTTAATGTAGATACATGCATTTTCTGTAAATCTGCTTTGAAAAACGACATTTATTGTGAAAAGTGCTATACAAACAAATGTGAATTGAATTGAATCATTGTTAGACAACGCTAGCAAACTTTGGTTTTTCGCGCACATTCATGTATGCACAATTAATCACGTGACTAAATCCAAACCAGAAGAAAAATGGATACTCATATACTTGGTCCACATTTTAATTGATTTTTTACAATGTATTTCTCCAAGATTATTCAAATATAATGCGATATTTTTTACAATCATATATAGTTTCAAAACATTTGAGCACAATTACACAAATTATACAGACTAGTATTTAATATCACAGTTAGCCATAAAAACCACATTGAAATCTTTCCAAGTGCAGATATTTTCTGATATAAGGCCATATTTTTATGTCATGGTCTGTTTTTAATTGTAAAATTGCAATCTAGAACTTTTAAGATGGCACCAATACTTCTAATAATTCAACCTGTATTCCCTGGTCTGGACTGAGATTCATAAAAAAACACAAAGTCAAGCACATGATCATGTAGGATACAGAAACGGTTGATGCTACTAAGGCTGAGCACATGTTCCCGAATTACACAGAGAAATGTTCAGATCCTGCAAGTCTCATCTACGGTCACACAGAAGCATCAGGCTTGTGGTATATCATGCTGCACCAAAAAAATAAAGCTAAATCCAAATTCATTCACATGATTGATATTTAATTCAAATTTTCAAGGTATTTAACCTATTTTGGCGTACTATATAGGAAAGATGTGTCACTATCAACAGCAGAAACACTTGCCAATAATCAATATCTCAGTGGAAGTGGCCGCTGCTTTCGGACCCTCCCCTGGTCGTGTGTTCAGTAGTGTGTGTTTCCTCCCCATCTCAAGCTCCTGCACCAGCCATTCGGAAGATCATACTTAAATCACAGCGGAAAGTCCATACTCGGGTGATTATGGGTAATTACTAGCTGCTTTACAACTAATAACATTCAGAAATTGCGTTTGAATTTAATAAGGAGCCACACATAAATAATATTACAAAAAAAAAATTGAAAATGTATTACATTTATTATTATGATTGATTAAATAAGTGATGTAAATTTTAGGATGTGAAAAAGAGAGCAGAGATTTTAGACGTGTATGATGCGTGTCACTCTGAAACATCACTGTCCTTCACGGACTACCTTTCACAACTGTCTTGGTAACTAATGTAAAATCTTTCTGTTCAGTTCAGACAGTTCAGAATTCTGTTCAGACCGCGGTCGCATTAGAAACATCTGACCTGTATCAGATTTAAAGATCTTAAAGAGATCCGAAGTTAAAAAGATCAGATTGCATGTGGTTTGTGCCGTTCACACTGTCGGATCTGAGTCACATGTGAGCAAAAGAAATCAGATTTGGGCCTGATGTGCATGGAGACTAGGCTGTGGCTGTGCCTTCCGCACGGCTGGGCTGAGACTCCTGCTTTACACTCTTTTCACAACTAAAGCATCCGCTACGTCACACACTCATGCACAAACAGTGCATCAGATTGGAGGGTTGATTGACAGGTGGCGGTTCGGCTACAGATACATGCCGTTGATGAGGTAATCGGACTCCTCTGTGGTGAGAGGCAAAGCTTTCTTCAGTCTGCGACCCACAAGCCAGACTCTGCAGCCGGCCATCAGCAAGAGCAGAGCGCTGATGATCAGACCCAGCGTCAGCGGGAGGATTGCACCTGCACACACACACACACACACACAAAAGTATAAGTGACGTGTCACGTGTGTGTGTTTGGGTACTCCTGAAGTAGGCGCACCTGACTCAGGGGCCGGGTGTCCCTCAAGCACGCGGTGTGTTTTCGCCGCTGGCAGGGAGTTGTGCGGCTCTTCCTCACGGGCCGAGGCTCCGGCAGCTGCACACACAACGCAGACGTTCATCATCACACGCCCACTTCATTTCATCAAAAGCAAACTTAAAGGGATAGTTCACTTTGAAATTAATTTTTTGGTATGTTTTATCTTACCTCAAGGGCATCCAAGATGTAGGTGTCTTTGTTTCCGCAGTATTTTCAATTTTAATATTTTTAGGTCAAACCGTTCTAGTCTGTCAGTTATATAATGGAGGTCTATGGTCACCACCTCAAAAAACATGCACAGAGAAGTCCAAATTAAACATGATTTAATGACTCGTAAATGTAAGTACACATTGATGGCCTAAGACACGAAACGAGCGGTTTGTGTGACACCACCGCCTTCAGATCAGATCACTTGGACGTGACTGTGATTACAAGAGGTAAAAACGATATAAATACTGTTCGTTTTCTCACACAAACCGCTCGTTTTGTGTTTTAGGCCATCAATGTGTACTTACATTTACGAGTCATTAAATCATGTTTAATTTTGACTTCTCTGTGCATGCTCTGTGAGGTGGTGACCATAGACCTCCATTATATGACTGACAGACAAGAACGGTTTGACCTAAAAATATCAAAATTGAAACTACTGCGGAAACAAAGACACCTACATCTTGGATGCCCTTGAGGTAAGCTAAAACATATCAAAAATTAATTTCAAAGTGAACTATCCCTTTAACACAAGGACAATAAAGAGTCTGACTACCTTGAAAGCTTGTTTCCGCCACAGAATAAAACTTTTTATCTCACAATTGCGAGTTATTAAATCAGAATTGAAAGATATTAGAGAAAATTAACCTTTGGTCTAATGAAACATTGGAACCTTGTTGACCGTTCTCTGAGATTTGTTTTCATGATAATCGAATGTAAAGAGTTTTATCTCTAAAATTGTACTTTAGCGTATAATGCTAGTAATGGGGGCATTTACTAAGTAAAAAGAAATCGCTAGTTAATACCACTAACAAGGCTCAAAATAGCCCCACACTAACACAGTGACATAATGAGGGTCCATACATGCAAAACGAAGCATTGAGAACTCTGTAATTGTACAGACCGTTTAATAAGAAGATACTTTATAAAGACAGTCCAGAATTTACTTATTAAATGCCCCCATATACTAGCGTTAAACACTAAACAGTTTTTAGAGATTAAACTCTTTACATTTCATTATCATAAAAACTCATAAAATTCATAAAAGAGAACGGTTTACTAGGTACTGAAGTTTTATGAGACCAAAGATTCATTTTGCGACGGAATTCTCCTTTAACATATTATTCTGAGAAAAAAACATACAATTGTGACAATATCACGCAGCAATTGTGAAAAAAAGTCCCAATTGTGTGGTATGAAGTCAGAATTGCGTGATATAAAGTCGCAATTGCGTGTTATAATTTTTATTTATTAATCTTTTTATTCTAATTTTAAAACAAGCTTCCATAGACTACCATAACGGAAGTCACACACAAAACAATAATGTACATGAGACACGCATGGTTGAGGTTAACAGTACATGTTGTTCACTTTGATTTTCACTTTAAGGGGAAACTATATTCTTCTTTGAAATCAAGGAAATCACGGAGTGAACATACATTAGATTTACACTGTTTGAATCATCTGAAACAAGACCTGATGTTGCTGTACATACATGTGTGTATTGTCCTGCTGGGTAATGGAGTTGCGGTGGCCTGATGTTCTGTTACTGCTGAAAGATGATCATTTTTAGAGTCACAGCATTCTCAATTGAATACATTTTATTGAACACATTTAATCAGCTGATTTCAAAACTCTGCTTCATGAAGCTTCGAAACCTTTGTGAATCTTTTGTTTCGCATCAGTGGTTCAGAGCGCATAGCAAACTGCAATAGTGTCACGTGATTTGAGTAAAAGAGGCTCTGTTACGTCATAACCGTTTCGAAATGTAGACGTCTTTATTAAACTTTACTTTAATTGAAGGGATTAATAGTAGTTAATAGCCTCTAATAGACCTGTTTAGCTGATCCAGCCTTGAAAACAACAAACAAGCCCTGAAAATTGCTAAAAGAACACATATTATACAGGCATTTGAAATTGTATTTTAATAGATGATTAGTTATTGCATTTGAAAGATTTTACTTTCAAGAAATGGGTTTGGAAGAGGTTGTTTAATGCATGTTTGGCCTGAGTTTGTGTGGCATTTCCACTGATCTGACCAGCAGGGGTCACCAGCGATTCGAACGCTTCAAAACAGGGAATCATTTTGCGAAGCAATCGAATCAATTGATTGGAAACTTTGAAAAGCTTTGTTTCTCCCATCACTATCGAAGGTGTTCAAGTCTTACGTGGTTTCTGAATGCACTCATTCACACAATCAGACTTCTGGAGGAAGTTGTTGTGGTTTCCTTTGCAGCCGCCGTACTGGAAGTGCAGGCAGTCTCCCGTTTCAGGATCATAATACCAGCGCGGGAAAACCCCTTTACACGGGCCGGCCACTGGGGGCGCTGCACAGGGATCTGACACACAGACACACACAGACATGTTTGCTCTCTACACACTATCAAGTGTCTAGATATAAAAAGTGTTACAAAAGTAACACGTTACAGTAACATATTACTTTTTGCTGTAACGCAGTAGGGTGAAGGCCTGTTCACACCGGGACGAATTTTACGTGTCATTCGCCGACGTTTAACACCTCGTGACTAAACAATGGGCGCCAATGTAAGTGTGCACACTGACGCGTAAAACGCCACGCGTAAAAGCGTAATTTAAAAAAAACCGTCTCGGGTTCGTTTATTTAGTTTGACGCGTTGCGTCAAAAACTATCCGACCAATGAGATTGGCGCTTTTGCTCACGCGTTTGGAGCTTCTGAAGTTACAGTAAAACATAACTTGGGGGCACTTAAACACAAAACGGTCTTGCTGAGCACACATATGGAACGGAGAAGAAGATATACGCCAAGTGAAAAACGCGTTGAAAAACGCTGACGAATAACGCGCTTATATTCGACTGCTAGAAGTCGAAGGGGAGGGCCTTAAGGCATTACTAATCAATTTTTCAGTAATTTTTTACTCGTTACATGTTCAGTAAGGCTTGTGTTACAAAAGACTTTTAGTTTTAATTGTAAAAAAACAACCAAGATTATGAATTTGTCAAATATAGCAAGGAGACATTTGAATTGTTTATTAATAAAGATGAAGTTCATGATGCTGACTCACGATCTTCGCAGTAGGCTAGTGCGCGCCAGAGAGAAATGCACATTTCATTTCATAAGCAGAGAGCAGTCTGTTTTCTTTCATTTTGAATTGTTCTGTTTACAAGTAGACATTTCAATATAGATATATTTTTCAGGTCAGTGGAGTAGGCTATACTTATACGCTGAGTTTCGGTATAGCCTATAGCCTATTTATGAGACGCGCTCCAGCACGCCCCCGCGCCTTATCTATAATTGTCTGCTTTGTACTTCTTAAAGGCAATTGGTTGATGAAACATTGATTAAAATTAAGATACAATTAATACTAAATGAAATTCACTTTTAAGAAAGGCTTGTGTCTTCTGTTTGTGGTCTATGTGAAAGTTTTAAAGCAGTCTTTTAGTGCCGCTTCAGAACGGTCGCGTCTGTAACATTGTTTTTTTCCTCATAAATGCGAACACGAAAAATAAAATAAAATGAATATTTTATGTTCTATGGAGACTGGAGAGCCAACCCTTCCTCATCTGATTTGCAAATTACAAAAAATATATTTAGCCTCCTATTTTTTTGTCACGCATGAATGCGTGTCTATTCCCTTAATATTATAAATAAAACGTAGACTGATATTTTTCTAATATCTGGAGTCGTTTAAGGGAGTCGCCTATGTGGATAAACATACGTTTCAATACATTATGTATTTTCTGAGAATTTATATTTCAAGTTTTGACTGCAAATGTCATATCCATAATGCTGGACTTCCCAATTTTAATTAATTTATCCTCAACTAGTTTTGTGGTGTAGGTCTACATATTTTATAATGTTAATTTCAAATAATACTAATAGTAATTTAAAGATGTGGTAGCATTGGATCTGGATGGTAAGGAGAATAACGCTGGGAGTTGGAAGGTGTGTCACGGTTCTGCAGGTTCGTGGATCCGAGTGCCACGAATCACGATTTCGGTTTCATATCGCATATCGTTACAGCCCCAATGTTAAGTTCTACTTCTGTATAGTTATTTTGGTGAAAGTAACTCAAAAGTAATACATGAGTAATGTAACGCATTACAATTCTGAGACAGTAATATTGTAAGGTAATGAATTACTTTTAAATAACAGTAACAAGTAATACCTAATGTATTACAGTTTGGAAGTAACTTGCACAACACTGGATATAGGCCACATTTACACTGCAGGTCTTGATGCCCAATTACGATTTGTTGACTATATCTGATTGTTTCTTTTAAACGTGACCTATATCTGATATCTGGATTTACATACACACTTGGTGAAGGTTAACCTAACATACTGACCCATAAAATCTTAGGCCAAAAAGAAACTAAAAATGGTGCAAATTGCAAATAACGCAGACCAAATGATATTACAAGTTTTTGCGTTTCTTTAAAGGTCAGCAAAACATTTGTCTCTTAAGCCGGAGAAGAACATATAGAGCTCTTGTTGCAGCTTTGGCATTGAAAAGAGTCATGTGATCACGGCTGGTGTCCACCCGAGTTGATATCCGATTCATATCAGATTTATTTCCATCTATAAATGAGGCCTGGAACCGATCTGAGAATATCGGACGCTTGTTACGTTCGTGAGTCATATCTGTGCCACTTGAACCATGTAATGTAAATATGGCCATAGACAGGCTTTGTTAAGAGAATGGAAAGGAAAGGAGTGGATGAATTCTGAAGTCATCATGTGTGTGTGTCTTTGATTGATGTATTTTATGCATTACCGTGGTCGCTGAAGCCATAATGTTGGTGTTGCGCAGGTTTAGGGCTGTCAGTGAGCTGTATCTCTGATGCCGTCTGCGCTCCTGCTTCAGTGTTTTGTATATCAGGCCCATGTTTAGACGAGGGGTTGGACTTGTGACCAGTATCAACTATAAAACAGACCAAACACTTTTATACATCTAAAAATAATTGTGGTACTGAAAAGGCTTTTGAGAAGACGGCTTGATGGTCTAGGCATACAGTTTTGGCAGAAATCTTCATCTGATCGGTCAGGGCAGTGTTGCTTTCCATCGCAAGCATAACCGATGTCGATACAGCAGCCATCATCACACATGAACTGATACCGAGAACAGTGACCTGTACACACTTCAGAAACACACACACATCTGTGTCACTTCCATACAGATTCACGTTTACAGTTCATTAATACGCACCGGGCAATTAGAACAGACATCAGAACAATACGGTAAGAAACCAAGACAATAAAAACTCAAACTCAAAGGTCATATACTATGATTAAACAAATATTGTTTTACAAATAAAAATAATAATCAAAAAGTGGACTAATTGACTAGCCGATTAGTGAGGTCAACTAACGAGATTAGATTATTTCCCTCTTACTAGTGTTTTAATTTCTTGCGGATGTACTGTATTTTTAAGGGGGTGAATTTAGAATTGCTCAATTATAAAAGCAACAATATGCAACTTCCCCAAATCCATGTTCATATGTATGTACACAGCTTGTATGTATAGGATACACATATACAAATGTATCACATTACACATTGTTTCGAACCATTGTTTCATTAAACGTCCCTAAAATATCCATATTACTTCTCAGCGGACCATGTTTAAAAAAAAATAGCACACCACTATTAACTCGAAGAGGTCATGAATTGTGAAATCAAATTTTACTTGACCTTTTGAAACACATAGAAACTCGCATAGAAAATTACAGAAGTAATAATCCATGTTTACATGCAACTGTGAGACAGTTTTGAAGGAAGATAAGCCAGTGATGTCTGACCTTGAGAGTTTGGCGCAGGGGCGAGCACACTGACCGACACGTTGTCCGAGCTCTTCTGTCCCGCTGTGTCGGTGACGGTGATCTCAAACGTGTAAATCCCTTCTCTGAGACCGCTGAGTTTCAGCAGGCCTGGGTGAGACACCTGAGGGTGAGTAAATGGTGACAGAATTTTCATTTTTGGGTGCGGTATCCCTTTAACACTTAGGTCCCGGTGTTACTCAGATCTACATGTAGCGGTCACTCTCTGCAAAGGTGCATTACTCTCACCTGACACACATACAACACATAATTTGTATGATAATTTGTACATAAATGTGACCACTTGTGGAGAGAATCGATGCCTTTCAAGTCAACACAATCACTCGCGATACAGACAGCTGTGTTTGCTGTAAAAGTGTTTAAGTTTTGCCACATGATGCAGTGATTCCTCGGTCACACTGCAGAGACAAAGCAACTGGAAGTCTTAAAGGGTTATTTCACCCCCCAAAAAATTGTCATTAATGACTCACCCTCATGTCATCCCAAGCCCGTAAGACCTCCATTCATCTTCAGAAAACAGTTTAAGATATTTTTAGATTTAATCCGAGAGTTTTCTGTCCCTCCATTGTATGTCCGGTATACTGTCCTTGTCCAGAAAGGAAATAAAGACATCATCAAAGTAGTCCATGTGACATCAGTGGGTTAGTTACAATGTTCTGAAGCATCGAAAATACATTTTGGTCCAAAAATAACAAAAACTACGACTTTATCCTAGCCTGGCATGCCAGACCTACATCAAGATGTTAGGTCTGGGAACTCAACAACCGGGCGGGATAAACGGTTGTCATTCAAATTGTCTCTGCACGCAATTGGATAGCGCCACAACCAATCAGAGCAACGAAGAAGGTGACGACTTGAGTCCCATGCGTTTTCCCACCGGCAGAGCAAGTTGATATATTCATCTTTTACTGTATCCGGTCAGCAAAACTCTGAACACATCTTTTTTTTATGACTCAGGTGCCGTTCTTTGTTCTGGTTTCAAAGAAAAGCTTAAGTTCAAATCATCCAGAGTAGCGGTCAAAGCCGAATCGAAAGACAGCTGTTCACCAGCAGCAGCCATTCTTTGTTTTCAAGTAACGTTAGTAGTGAACCGTCACAACTCTGTCGTCATTATGTTAAGCCCACCCGCCGACTCTATACACGATGTGATTGGCCTGACCAGAGTTTGGTTTTTCCAGCTAAAACGTCTACGGGGAGTTGCTAGACCACACTGGCTGTGAAATAATTTTCGCTGCCACTTGGGTGCGTCTAGATTTCTAGGCTAACTTTATTCAGCATTGTATTGTGTTCCAGTTCTGTTGTGGATCTGTTGTAGTTCAGTGACGCTGCTGACGTGTGTCTGGTGCGTCCGTTTATTCGGGTTCAAATAAATATAAAAATGCAAGTCTTCCTGTGTGGAAATCCTCAGACACATTTGCGAAGATTGTTTTGTACAGCGTGTGTCTCCCTAAGACTGTAACCGAAGCTCAGCCGCACCAGACGCACGTCAGGAGCATCATTGAACCCACAACAAAACCGGAAGACAATACAATGCTTAAAAAAGTCGTAGTTTTTGTTATTTTTGGACCAAAATGTATTTCCGATGCTTCAAAACATTCTAACTAACCCACTGATGTCACATGGACTACTTTAATGATGTCTTTATTTCCTTTCTGGACAAGGACAGTATACCGTACACACATTTCCAATGGAGGGACAGAAAATTTAAATATCTTAAACTGTGATCTGAAGATGAACCGAGGTCTGACGGGCTTGGGACGATATGAGGGAGAGTCATTAATGACATCATTTTCATTTTTGGGTGAACTAACCCTTTAAGCAGCACAAGCAACAAAGTTGTTCTGACTTCAACTAATGCAAATGAGTAGTGATAGAATATGTGTTGAGCACAAATGGGAGTGCCGTATGACATTACCATTGATTCAATCTAGCTGGAGAAGCAAACATTAGTCCAAAAGCAGTAGTGCGGCGAGGGTCTTCTGGTCACACAGAGCGAATGTTGCACTAGAGGACTGACCAAGGCAGGTTTACCTTCATTCTGACAGAGGGGTCTCCTTTCACAAGAGCCCAGTCGTACTGTGTGATGCGATGGTCATCGGTGCTGTCTCTGCCGTCCAGCACCGCCCAGTCCGTCGGCAGCTGCACCACCAGATCCTGACCCGCGTCGCTGCGGGGCGGCTCGTCCACACCTGCGGGACCCCGAGCCGGGAACAGACATTTCAGTCAAGTGTAACAAAACAAAAAGAAATTATAATTTTTTTGGTCGCACAGAATCGAAAACGTCCGGACCTGCAGGACCAACTAAAGAACTTGGGAGTCATTTTTGACTCATGCATCATATCTGATCGACAGATCAAGACAGTGGTTCGTAATTGCTTCTTCTATTTAAAGGCAATAGCCAATTTGAAAACAATTCTGTCAGTCAGTGACCTGGAAAAAGCTTTCCCCACTTATATTTCTTCCCATCTGGATTATTGTAGTGCTCTTTATTTTGGGACCTGCCAAACACTTCCAACTGCAGCCTGTTCGTTCAATGTACAATAGGGGGTTCTGTACACTGTAGGGAACTTTTTCCTTGTAGCAAAGTTAGACGCTCAAGAGACGATGTTGGAAGGACTGCAGCCACCAGCAATGAAGAACTTCTGCTTGGAAAACTTCCACCGTCTCCTGGTCTCTTGAGCGTCTAATTCCTTCAACACAGAGTTATTTTTTCAGTTTTAAAGGGGGGGTTGACTGCGATTTCACTTTTTTGATTTTAAATAGTGTGTAATGTTGCTGTTGGTGCATGAACAGTATCTGCAAAGTTGCAGCGCTGAAAGTTCAATGTAAGCAGAGATATCGTCTTTTAAAAATCAGGAAGTATAATTGCCTACAAAAACGACTGGATTGGGACTACAGCTGGGTTTTAGACGTCACTAACCCACACCTGTATTAACCCTCCCTATGGAAAATGCAAAAAAGGCCATGATCATATTACTGCAGCAGTGTGTTGTTCACCCAGCTGTCAGGTCTTCTGTGTTTGAGCTTCTCACAGACACTGTTCTTCGTCAACAATGGATACAATTTATGTTTGATTATGTTCCTGAAAATGACGATCGTAATCTAGCTCTCTGTGCTGCGCATTTTACGGAAGACAGCTTCCAGAATCTCCACGAATTCAACACCAGATTCAACAAGAAACTGTTACTAAAACATGAAGCAGTTCCAACTTTAAAACCAGAGGCAGCAGTTATTGAATGGGCTACAACCTGTAAGTAGGCGAAGACTTAATCATTTTAAATGTATTTGCATGTATAATTCCAGATGTAATGTTTTAGTTTTGTCAAATGCCAGCGCTGGCTTTATATCAACTTAGTTATGCTATTTTGTGTCTACGACAAACGCGTACAAACATTTTGGACCTGAATTTGTATATGTACTCATTTTATAAATGTATTTTTCATGTATATATACACTTTATCATCACTTTGTGATGTAAGAACAGGTTTGTTATGTGTGGGCGATGAAAGGAGACACAGGGTCGGCGAATACTGGGACTCGTGCACTTTTATTTACACAACTCTTTTCACAGTGCGAGGTCGCGCTCAAATAAAGTTAACTCAGAATGTCAAAGGCAAAAATAAATAATAGGTGATAATACTCTTCCCACTGAACACAGCTTTGCCGAACACGGTTGCAGTGAAAACTCTTCCCGCTGAATACTACAGCTTTCAAATGTCACGCGTTCGGTAACAGGACTCCATAGGATACGCGCACGAGCGGCCAGTCTCTCTCTCAAACTGTTGTCCGCACGTCTCGCTTATATGCGCTCTCCTCACGCCAATCACTGAAATCACAGACAGGTGTTTGTCATTTGAACTTGACCCACTTATTCACCACTCGGCTCCGTCCTCGCTCTCCCACAGTCCCACTACAGAATTCGCTGAACCACGCCCCCCTCGCCACAGGCGTTAAAGGGTTAGTTCACCCAAAAATGAAAATTAAGTCATTAATTACTCACCCCCATGCTGTACCAACCCCGTAAGACCTTCGTTCGTCTTCGGAACACAAATGAAGATATTTTTGATTAAATTTGAGAGCTGTATAACTACCACATAGGCTCCTAAGGGACTGCCTCTTGACGGCCCAGAAAGTCAATGAAGAAAATGTTTAAATATCCCAAGTGACTACCGTGGCTCAACTATATGTTTATCAAGCGACGCAAATACTTTTTGTGCGAAAAAACAAACAAAAATAACGAGTTTATTCGACTATTTCTTTTCTTCCTTGTAGGCCAGAACGAGACTTCCTTAGATTTCCACGACGCATGCGCGAGAATTGCGATCTGAAGTAGTGTAAGCTGGTGTGAGCAGATCGCAAATCTCGCGCATGCGTCGTGGAAATCTAAGGAAGTCTCGTTCTGGCCTACAAGGAAGAAAAGAAATAGTCGAATAAACTCGTTATTTTTGTTTGTTTTTTCGCACAAAAAGTATTTGCGTCGCTTGATAAACATATAGTTGAGCCACGGTAGTCACTTGGGATATTTAAACATTTTCTTCATTGACTTTCTGGGCCGTCAAGAGGCAGTCCCTTAGGAGCCAATGTGGTAGTTATACAGCTCTCAAATTTAATCAAAAATATCTTCATTTGTGTTCCGAAGACGAACGAAGGTCTTACGGGGTTGGTACAGCATGGGGGTGAGTAATTAATGACTTAATTTTCATTTTTGGGTGAACTAACCCTTTAAGTATCCAAACAACGTGAGCGACAGTTTAGCCAATCAAAACACACCGTCCCAAACTAACCAATCTGAGCCAACTGACTGTTTCTGAGGAAATGGTTTCATAGACTCAGGACAGGAAGTCAACCGCTCGTTATATGACAGAGGAGAACGCTGACAGTAAAGGTGAAGTTTATGAAAAATAAGACTTTTTAAAAATGAAAAACCACGAATACATGTTATATTGCACCCCATAAACACAATCATGCAAATAAAAAAAGCAGTCAACCCCCCCTTTAAAGGGGTGGTTGATTATGATTTCACTTTTCTAGCTTTCACACAGAAAGACCGCACCAAGGTCTGAACCAAAGTTCATGTTTTGATATATTTTATACTTTCAGAAAGTTCTGGTTTGGTTTCACACTGCAATGCAAGCGCACTTTACGCGTAAGACCTTTACGCGACACACTTGCGTCCTGTCGTCATCATCTATGTGGGCTGCATCTTGACATTGATTGGTTCAGTAAATGGACGCGTGTCTGATGTCAGCGTGTTGTCAATTCGGCCGCGGGTAACTTTGACGACATGAACAACCAGACGCATATCGTTGCAACTATATTGATATTTTTATGGCATAATTACCTGCAGCACCAACTATACACAAGGCTAGTTCAAATTCGCCAAATGAATGTCCTCTTTGTGCGAACATTTTATCATTTTACCCGCAGGAAAGGAGAAGACTGCAAGTTGACTTCTTATTACGTATATCATCAGACCATACTTCAATTAAAAAAAACCTTGTCTCCCCAAGACCCCATGTGCTACCATGGCTCATTTTTCCTGCCACCTTCAGTTTTTTCGGCTTTTTGGGAACCACCAGAACTTCCTGTAAAAGGTTGTGAAAGTCCGAACCATACAGAAATGCTTTCAACACTAAAAACGAACCAAACCTTTTTTCAGTTTGATCTGGGCCGAGACTACCTCTTTTCGTCGGACCAAATTTCATCTGTTTGGTCCGGACCATGGTCCAGCGGTGGTTTCACACCTGTAATTTTGATTCGGACCAAACCGAAAAGTCTGAAAGTCCGGACCAAGCAAGGTACGTGTGAAAGGGCCCTTAGTCAGTGTGTAATGTTTGAGCATAAACAACATCTGCAAAGTTACGGCGATCAAAGTTCAAAGCAAGGGGAGATATTTGCTTTTAAAGAAATAGCTTTTTAAGGACTACAACAAACGGCTGACAGGGACTACATGACATTCCTAAAATTTACATAAACCCCGCCCCCAGGAATGTGTATATGCAATGACTAGAAGATAACTACGTATAAGCTACATAAATCATGTAACACCAACCATTCATATAACCGTTAACTAACCGTCAACTAACCATTCATAAATGTCCTGTTGCTTCTACGTTTTCACTTATTCTTGAGTCTCTCCATCATTGTCTGACTCAGTTCATGTCCAACCCGATCTCACGGCAATTCGTACGAATTTTACGAGGTGGCTAATTCATAACAATTCGTACAACCTCACTTGTACGATTTTTGCTAAATCGTACATTTTTTATGAGTTGGCCAATTCGGATGAATTCGTACGAATGACCTGCCCCTGACCCCGCCCCTAAAATTACCCATCACGTGGGTTTAGACAAGTAGCAATCGAATTCGTACGAGTGAGGTCGTATAAATTAGTACGAATTAGCCACTTTTTAATCACTCGTACGAATTTGTATGAATTGGTCGTGAGATAGCGGTGGCATGTCTGTGTGTGTTTTTGTAAAAAAGGACAGGAGCAGTTGTAGCTCCGCCCAGTGTGACGGGAGCTGCAGCTCATTTGCATTTAAAGGGACGGACACCAAAAACGATGCGTTTTTGCTCACCCTAAAAAAGTGACCATTTTAACATGCTATATAAAATATCTGTGGGGTATTTAAAGCTAAAACTTCACATAAACACCCTGGGCACATCAGAGACTTATTTTACATCTTGTGAAAAGGGCATTTTACCACCCCGTGAACTCTACTCTTTCACACAAGACAAGTGGATGCAGAGTTTCTTGAAAGTCAAGTTTAACTTCACATGATCCTCTATAGAGTCTACTCTATATGCTGTTGCACTTCTGAACATTGACACAATTGGTTTATAGAAGAAAACTCTTTTCCATCTTCCAGACCCCGGCAAAATCATGGTGTCACAAAGAGACTTGTCTAATCAAACGCTCCCAGCTGCAAATCCCAGACGCATCTGACTAAAACTGCATATAAAAGCAGTCAATACACATCACACAGTATTTAGGCCAGGAGAATCAAAATCAGACAGTGCAAATATTAATATGTCCTATTTGTAAAACAATGAAACTGTAAAAATAAACACCTTATTTTGTTTTAGATGTATTTTGACTACATTTAAATGTGCACTACTACAATTGAAATGTTTGGGGTCTTTAAGATTTCTCTCACTAATGCTGTATTTGATACTGTTGTAATACTGTGAAAATATTGTTAGAAATGAAAATGACTAATTTGTTTCTGTGATGGCAAAGCAGATTTGTCAGTCTTCAGTGTCACACGACCCTTCAGAAATCCTTCTAATATGATGATTTGCTTCTCAAGAAACTTTATTTATTGACTTATGCTGCCTCGATGCGCTATCGGAAATTTCATCGTGATTAAGAGATCACCACATTCAATTGCGTTTGTTGTCGGAAATAACAGGACTCATGGATGACACCATGAGTTTACTCTCACCTATTTATTTATTTATTATTGTACCCCATAATCATCAAAATTATAACAAATAATGGCTTGAAATATCTCACTGTAATGAGTCTATATAGTTTAACATTTTAATTTTAATTATATAAATATTCTATTTTTTCAAGTTTCACCTGTAGACCTATTATGCTTTGTTAAAGAAATAAAAAGGGATTCAAGCTCTCTCTCTCTCTCTCTCTCTCTCTCTCTCTCGTTATCCCGGCCTCAATGTTTAGGCCTATAATTCTATTATTGTTTGGCTAATTCTGTTTTGAGTTGTAACCAGTATCTGATTTTATATATGTTCAATAAAAAATAAAAACAACGGAGAGACCCTTAGCTATATCATTATAATATGCTGATTTGAAGCTCGAAAAACTTTATTTCTTGACTGCCGCTCATCGCATTCACGTGCTTTTGTTGTCGGAAATAAAGTCACATAATCCATATCATTATGCTTATTTGCTACTCAAAAGTATATAATTATTACCAATGCTGAAAAAAACAGTTGTTCTGCCTCATATTTCTGTGGAAATCACGTCGTCATTTTTGGCATGATACGTTCAACTACAACTGGAGAAACCCACCCTGCATTAGGGACTCCTCCCCGATCCCGTAAGCGGGTCCCCCCTCGGCTGCAGTGTCGGGACGGCCCGGTGCAGCAGAGGGGGCTCTAGTGCTGTTATCTGCCCGGCTGTAGGTGCTGAAGCCCGGCTGGAAGGAGAACGAGCACACACTCCTGCCCCCGGAGGTGCAGTTGAACAGGTAACAGCGCAGACTGCCGTCCGGCTGCGTGAGCTCCTCCTGGATGATGGCATCAGTGCAGTGCGGGTGCGCGCAGCAGGCGTGCACGCAGTCCCTCCAGCTGAACACGCGCGGCGGCGCGGACAGGAACGCGCCGCCCTGCTCGATGGACGCGCTGGCGCGGATGATGCGCTCCTCCTGCGCCTGAAAGCCCCTGACACAGCGATCCCCGTCCCCCGCGTCCCCCCTCGGGCCCGGCTCCTGCTGGAGCTGCTTGCGGAACTCCTCCAGCAGTTCCTCCACGCCGGATATTTGAGATTTGAGGTCCGATGTTGGAGAGGAGGAGCGCGTCATCAGGACCGTCCTCGTCACGCAGAGAAGAAGAGAACAGATGAGCGCTCGCTGGACATGATGATGAAGCGCACAACGAAGCATTGTTGCGCCGTAAACGCTCCTTTATCACGATGGAAACGATCGCACGCTTTCTCTCACATCCTATTCGAGACTCAAAGTGTCAGTTTACGACGTAAGAATCGCTGTTTTGCGCATTTTAGAAGAGCAGCACGAAGCACCTGTCGTCTCCACTGGCACTGAGCTGGAATCAGCATCGGTAAATGCAGTGTTGAGTTGTCGAGTTCCTGCAGGGGGCGCTCTGTGGCTCACACTGACGTGCTATCGAGATTTCCTACTTCCCACTTCTGAAGTCGTGATTACGAGTTCGTCGCAAGTTCTGAAGTCCAATCACCTGTATTTATATAACGCTTTTAACAATACAGATTGTTTCAAAGCACCTTTACAGTGATAACAATGCAACAGTGTTTCTGCTTGTACAGAAGATCTAGAAAAAATAGTGTCTGAGTCCAGCTTAATAAAGTTCAGTGATGGTTCATTTTTGTTTGTATAAAAAGTTATGAAGTTCATTTATATGTGTAGCCATGTATTCTGGAGAACAGTGATTTCATTGTCCAGCTCAATTCAGTTCTCATATAAAGTCAATGCACATTGATATTGTTGAATAGGCTAATTGTGTCCCCAAAGCCAAAGGCGACAAAGTCATGCTTTGCTGTCGGAAAGAACGGGAATCATGGAGGACACCAGGTTAATTATTGTTAATTGATTAGGAAAATCTAAAGCCAAAATGATGAGTCTCATTCACTGAAAACCCAAAAAATCAAAAAATTCACTATCTATAGTTAGCTTGCTAATTCTGTCATTTCTGTCAAAGGTTATTTTTGCTGTGTGTAAAACATAGGCCTACGCTTAAAATGATTATTCATGAATATAAATATTAAAGGGGTCATGAACTGGCTTTTTAAATATTATTATATTGCTATCTGGGTCAACTTATGACGTTCGCTTGGTTTTTGCATTCAAAAATATCAAAATGAGTAAGTAATAGGCTATTTTGTATCCAATTTTTAGCCTATCTGAAAAACGCTGGGTTTTTATGGGCGTCTCGCACTGAAGACTTGGAAGTAAACGCCCACTGCTGTGAGTGGATAACAGTTTTGCATATTATAATGAGTCGCGACGATTCACTTGGGGGAATTTTTTTTTAAAGCCACAATATGTATTTTTTCTGCATTAAAAATAGCAAAAATAACTGTATCTATGTTATATATTTCTGTTAGATATGTACTTACATTATCCCGACAGTTTCCACCAAATTTCAAATACGGAGAAATTTATAGTTTAATTCGAAGACACGGGACGTTTCTTTATTTCCGTTTCGTCGCCCGTCTATGGCGTCATATAACCTTTGACTCCTCTATTTTCTCTAACTTCCTTGCGGAACCCGGCGAAACCGCCAAACACAAAGGGGAACACTGGACTACCGCCAATAAAGCAAAGAAAATGACGAAATAAAAAAAGTAGTACGTATTTTTATGTGTGTAAATCACGTGCCCGCTCACGAGCGCTGACTCTTAACAGACACACTGTCCCCGGTGCTGCTCGCGCATAAAGCGCTCCCTGTTCACAGTAACCGGGTCGTCTCATTCAAATCAGCCAACTGTTGCTGTTAGCGAGCCGCGCACATTGAATACTCTTATGAGTCAGGCTGCGAATGTACGTGCCCGCTTCAGCTCTCTCATGCTTACTAAATAAACGCCTCACCTCCGGCGCCGCGCACTCACTACATTCCCTTTAGCCTTTAGCACATAGTGGATGAATAACGCAAACCCAGTCAAACGTTTGACTGCAGTATCTTATGTGCTTTATAATCCGGTGCGCTCTATATATGACAAATATTCTAAAATAGGCCATTCATTGAAGTAGCGTAATATTAATATTTTATATTCGTCTGTATAATAGTTATGGACCACGATTACGCTTTGCCTGCACGTTCTGCTGCTACAGCCAGCTCATTAGCTAAAGCTCAAACGTACCTGAAAAATATGACCCGAGAAGGGTTTGGGACAGGAGAAGCATTACACAGGTAAACATTGGGGTTGCATTTAAAGCTTCTTGACAAGCTAAATCTACAGAGAAATGCCGTATATCCATATATTTTGTGAAACGACGATGTCATGTCATGAGCTGAGCTGGTTGTCATTGACAGCGACAACAACTCCCGTGAGCCCACGCTCTTTCCCGACGTCATCAAAGTACGTCTTTTGTTATTATTTTAAACGAGTGACCCCTGGTGGCCCAAAATCGCATACTGTACGTTTAAAACGTCCAATGTTGTAAAATGGCAACCGGAATGATTCGCCCATACACGTTCAACCCAGAGTCCGTGTGTTGCACAATTCCTGTCAGAGCCACGATAGACGGCACAGCACAGTTCTTTACTTTTAATCGGTCTGCGTCTGCAAATCCAGTTTTGTTTACAGGACAATCCTCAGTGAAATGAAGCGAACAGACCGACGATGTTTTACCCTCATCAGCTGGAACGTCATTAAAAAGAAAGTTTATCCATGCAATGCTGTTGGAATCCACAGGAAGGCAGTGACTGTCTTCTTCCACAACCAGGCACTGCATAATATTCTGTATTGCTTGATAGCTTGATCCAGGTTGTCATCAGGAGGTAGGCATCTATGTTATTTAGCCATGCGTGTAATGCGTGAATCGGTGGGCGGGGCTAAACCGGCCGTGTTGAAGTAGGCGTTGATCTTCTTCTGTGGGGGTGGTGTTTTATCCTCTTTGTTGTCATAGTTCCCCACTTTGAAAAATGAGTCGTTTGCTGGGGCTGGTGTCAATAAAAGCTTTTATTGGACCAACAAGGTACGTTTTCAGTTCTGAAACTTACAGGATATTTTTATAATATGATGACCTCTTAGATGTCAAAAGCTCAAGGAAAATTTCTCAGTTCATCAACCATTTAATACTTTAACAAGACAAGGTGATGTAGCGGTTGTGGAAATAACTAATGAAGAATACCATACAGTTGATACAGGTACCATTTTTAACTTGGAAACTCGTATTTATCTTTATTCCGAGAGCATGTGAAGGCAGGATTACAACACTATCCAGAAATCAGGACGCTTTTTTCAAAGGATTGTTTTTGCATTTAATCTACTGACCCTTTTCACATTTCCAGGTTTCTCAGAAGGGGAAGTCATCATAGTTGGGTAAACTTCTGTAGCTTCAACTACATTACATATTTTTTGTGTTCCTATTTGCTCAAGTAGCAAAATAAAAAATCCACAGTGGTGTTTTCACAACTTTCAAAAAAAAAGAAAAAAACAAATAGAGACGGATTGATAACGGCAGCCGGGAGTTTAGTTTTTTTTTTTTTTTTTTTTTTTTGCAAAGGTTATATAATACAAAGTAATATAATATAATACAAAAAATTTCAAACGATGAATGTCATTATATGACCAACATCATTTTATAATTTTTTTATCTTTGTTCATCTGACAGGTATAACTCAGTAACAGCAGCCAAACAAAATATAAAGTAAATAATATGGGTCAAGAGCCCAACTAAAGCAAACACGGATCTCCATAACGGTGACTTAAAAATGATGGTTTTCTCCTTCAGTGATTCTGCTTGTTAACATCAGGTGTCTTCAATAATGCTCAATCAACTACCAAACCAACTAGTTTATGTAACAAGGCAGAATCTTGTTGAATTGAAGTGCTTTACTGACATTGAGTGGATAAGAATAAATTTGATTAGACTAACACAATACAAACATTTTGATTCAATTAGTTGTGAAGAAGTTACATTGAAATATTACAATCATGCTGAATCTACAAATGTATATTGTGTTCACATAAAATATTCAAAGTAGTTCAAGTTTACTTGATTTGATTAGATGCATAATGGGTGCTACGTTTAAATCACGTTCATTCAACAATTTCTTTTTTTGAGTGTGTAACGCTACAAAGTTTTAGAGGGATGCTTAGTGATAATCTTAAAACATTCCAATTAAATGTAAGAGGTCTACAAATTGAAAAGATTATGATACTTATCCTAGATTAAATTATGTTTTGTAATAAAATACATTCAATTTGAAATAGAGGATGGAAACAGCAGAATTCACTGTTTTATGTCCTGAATAAGTCTAAGTAAAATTGAGATATGGAGGGACTAAACAAGTTTTCCTGGTAAGCTGGAGGTTTCTGGGCCGGAGGTTTCTCTGATCTCTCCGGTTCAGTTTTGGGGCTTGATGGTTCTGGTTCCTCAGTTTAAGGATCAACTGCACCTTGTTATCAACTTCCTAGATATCCACACCTAGTTTCTTCTGTGAAGGTGGCTGACACATGCACACCTAGATGTATAGCTAGTAATGTTGACAGAACAGACATAATCATGTAATGAAGTAATACTATAAAAAGATTTCAAAAAGAGAATCTAGAAAATAGTAGCATAGTTTACTTTACCTAGTTCCCTACCGTAGGAGATCGCCTTCACAATCCTGGCTAACAAGGGAACAAGTGTACTAAGTATTATTAAGCTGCTGGACTGGCAAGACCATCGGGACAACCATGCGAGAACTTGTTTCTTGAAAGGCCACTGAGCCGGAGGGAGAGTTTAGTGTGTCAATTCATGCGGCAAGCCAAAGTCGAGCGGGTCCCATGTGTTGTTGCCGTGATGTGTTTCGTGGCAAAATAAAGTTGGGGAACTCTATTGTGAGCAAAGACACCCTGCAGGTCAAGTTGATTGACTTTGGGCGTGGGGACCTCAAGAGGAATGTTGTATGGTATGCATTATCCCTCAAAGCTGAAAGAGAAAACATGCTTTCCTAATCCAGACACCAAAGAGTGGTACGACCTTCCTGAGGATCAAGGGCAAGTACCACGGGAAGTCTGCAATGGCGTGGTCTCTAGTGGTATGGTGATATTGTTTTTATATTTTTTATGATGCTGTGAGTGTGAGCCAATGGATTCATTGGAGTCAGAGCCTGGATTACCAAAATGTGAGATGTTCAGCATAAGAAAAGAAGTTTGATTCAAATCATCATACAAGTTCTTCCATATCAGATCTTACATCTTAGGGTCAGATGTCTGAGTGGAGTAGGTGTATAGGCTTCTGGTCATAATCAGATGTCTCTCCCACAGAATCCTGCCATTTGATCTGTAAGGTCTTGCAGACAAGTCTAAGCCTTTTGTCTCGGTCTGGGGAAGATCATTCACCGTAACACAGTCTCATCGTCTGGGACGTCTTTTGACCATACGC